AATACAATGAGGGTGTATGTTGTATGAAAATTTTATCTTCCTATTTCACTTGCATTTGATGATTTTAATTTATTAGTAAAGTAAATGATTAGATACAAATGAAATTAAAAATTTAATATAGACTTATTATTATTATTATATTGAGTTGTTTAGTGTTTGTGTAGAGCCATATATGTTTCCCTCAAAGGGTATAATATGTTGATCTTGGGTGCTCATAATAGCAATAATAAAGGCCAAGGCACCATTAGAGCTTCTCATGTACTGCATATAAATGGGGTGTGTAAAATAACTATGTAGTAACAGCACATGAGATAAAAGATACGATCCTTCCCCCTTTTATGGAGGAAGGGTTTAGAGAGGAGATCTCCCTCTCAAGCGTGGAAGACACAGTGATCAGAGTTGTCCCCACCTAATTATGCAAGGCATGCGCTACCCTCCTGTTGGAGTACAGTGGGCAACAGTGCAGGGATATGAGGTGCCCTCTAGAAAGTTCTAGATGTGAACTATAATATTGTGCCGAACTTATTGAGCTTAAAAAGGTCGGTAAAACATATTAAAAAAAAGAGAATGTCATGTGTATGCATCTGTTATTTTTCATTAATTATTGTATTTTTCATTTCTAGAATATTCTTTTATGAGAATTTTTTATAAAAATAAAATATTGTTATTACTAACTATTGGTGCCCACAAAGATAACAACAGTTAGGCTCAAAGGGGTTTTCATCCCTATAAAATGCCCCTCCTTTCCATGGAAAATGCACACTTGACTTCATTGTTGAGCTTATAAATTCATACTTCTGCCTCACTTGATTACTATCCCTGTTCACGAATAAAATAACAAGTACTGGAAATACCTAGGTAAAAGTTGCCAATAGTGGTCAAGAAAAAGTCAAACCAATAGGAAATAAACTAATAGCAGATAGGTACATTCATGCATAAATAAAAAATGTCACGTATCAATTAGATTGTAATATGTACAAACCTTGTTAGGCATTGTTTTGGTTGAATAAATTAATGTCATATATATGTGATGCAGTCTACGAGGTATTCGAAAGAATGGCTTATTATGGGATATCATCAAATTTGATGCTGTATCTAACAAAGACGCTTCACCAAGGCACTGTTACCTCTTCCAACAATGTCACCAATTGGGTTGGCACCATTTGGGTAACTCCCATATTAGGCGCCTACATTGCAGATGCACACCTTGGCCGCTTTTGGACTTGTGTCATTGCCTCAATCATCTATCTGTTGGTATGTCTTTCTATCACGTTTGAATTCTCCCATTGTCATTGTTGCTAACTGTCTTGTTCGATATGGTTAACAAGACTTGATAAATAACTCCATGTCCAAATTTTAATGGAAATTACGAGCATATCTTGCTCTAGTCTTTTATTGCTAAGGGTAAACTCCCTATTTATAAGGCTCCCAACTTGCGAGGGTAGAGGAAGGGGTTATAATTTTATTTTATTTTTTGGATAAAAGGAAAGGGCTTAATAATTGATTGTATATAGCTTTATCTTTGCATTTTTACAAAGAGACTATTCTCTAAACTCAAATCCATAACCTTTCGGTCACAAGCAATAACCTTACCATTACTCCAAAGCTTGCCCTCTCATTTATTGTTAGAACATAGGTCATCTTGGACCATAACAGATTTTGATGGTATAAAACATGGGTTTAAAGTTTATCATGTTGTAAGAGATAAAATTATCTCCTACATTCACATAAAAATGTGTAGGGTCTAGTTTTTCTATTTTTCTCTCATCTCCTCATATGTTCTCTTATGGGCTCTACACACTTTTATATGTGTGTGTGTAATATTTTATCTCATAACATAAGAAACTTTAAACTCATAGAACATTTGATAAGTGCTTCAACATCAACATTACCTTTATTTCAAATTAGTTGAGATTAGCGGTTGATGAACTCCAATAAAAATAATAAAAGATTGAAAGAAAAGAAACAAAAAATAAATATAGGAAAAAAGGAATAAAAAAAGACTGTATGGAGCATAGGAAATAATGAATCTACCTCTCCACAAGACTAATAACTTTCCTCCTCTCCGTACATAAATCTATTTCCTATTCCATAAGGTCTTAGTTTACTACTTTTCCAAGTTATTTGCATAAATAGAAAATCACAACGAAATTAAAAAAGCTATTCATCAATAACAATAAAGGATTAGGAGTCCATCACTCTCTATTTGTGTTTACTGATGGTTATAGCATCCTGCTTAGTGTTTAGGACAAGTCATCTTGTTAATTCTCTTGGGTTGGTTTAATAATTCATGAGTAATTGGTATTGGCAGGGTATGTCTCTGCTTACACTGTCAGTTTCCCTTCCAAGCCTAAAGCCACCTCAGTGCAATGAAATAGATGTGACAAAATGCAAGAAAGCCTCCACACTGCAGCTAGCTGTGTTCTTTGGCGCACTTTACATTTTAGCATTGGGAACTGGTGGAACCAAGGCCAACATTTCCACCATTGGTGCTGACCAGTTTGATGATTTTGACCCCAAAGAAAAGCGGCATAAACTCTCATTCTTCAATTGGTGGATGTTCAGCATCTACATTGGGACCCTATTTTCATTCACAGTTCTTGTGTATATACAAGATAATGTGGGTTGGGCACTTGGTTATGGTATTCCAACCTTTGGACTTGCAATATCAATCATCGTATTCTTGGCAGGTACACGCTTCTATAGACACAAACTGCCCGCAGGGAGTCCCTTCACTAGAATGGCTAAGGTCATAGTAGCTGCTTTAAGGAAAAGGAAGGTAACTGTTCCTATAGACACTAAAGAACTATATGAGCTTGATTTTGAGGAATATACAAAGAAAGGAAAATTCAAGATTGATCCCACCCCAACATTGAGGTATAAATTCTAGCCTACTTTCTGGTCCATTTGATGTGTGATTTTATTATACAAAGAAATGTTATTGTGTTAATACAAATACATATGCAGATTCCTCAACAAGGCCTGTGTCAATACTGGTTCAAGTACTGGTGCATGGATGCTGTGCTCAGTTACCCAAGTAGAGGAAACTAAACAAATCCTAAGGATGATCCCAATTTGGGTTGCTACATTTGTTCCTAGTGCAATGGCTGTTCTTGTAAATACCCTTTTTTTAAAGCAAGGAACTACACTAGACCGACGCATTGGAAGCTTCGACATTTCCCCAGCAAGTTTAATTTCATCTACAACTTTGACCATGCTTATCTTTGTTCTACTCTATGACCGTTTCCTTGTTAAGATTATGAAGAGGATGACAAAAAACCCCCGAGGGATTTCTCTTCTTCAAAGAATGGGAGTAGGGATCTTGATCCACCTAGTGAATTTGATAGTTGCATCTTTGACTGAAAGATATAGACTTAGTGTGGCCAAAGAACATGGGGTTGTTGAAAATGGAGGACAGGTTCCTTTGAGCATATTCATTTTGCTTCCTCAGTTTATACTTATGGGAGTAGCTGAAGTCTTCGTAGAGACTTCCAAACTTGAGTTCTTCTATGACCAAGCCCCAGAAAGCATGAAGAGCCTTGGGACTTCGTATTCCTTGACTACCATAGGCATTGGGAGTTTCTTCAGTACTTTTCTTCTGTCAACAGTTTCACAAATCACAAAGAAATATGGTCACCAAGGATGGATTTTGAACAACCTGAATGCTTCTCATCTTGATTACTACTATGCATTTTTGGCAGTACTAAACTTCCTTAACTTCATCTTCTTCGTGATTGTTACAAAGTACTATGTATACAGGGCTGAAGTTTCAGATTCCCTGAAAGTGCTTGAGGAAGAACTGAAGGAGAAGACAATCATTGTGTCAAACCAAGCAAACCTAAGAGATTATGAAATTTTGGAAAGTGGAAGAGGATATAACAGGTTTAAGTTTCAGAACTGATACAGAACTTTGGGATGGTTTTCGTAATTCGAAGCCACATTACAAGAACATTCAATTGTTATAGTTCTTGGAGTATATGAATTGAATTGATTTTGGCTGAGAAGAGTGACGCTCAAGAAAAAGAAAAGTTATTTTGGCTACTTAGGGAAGACAGATCATAACTCAATCTCGAGTATTTCATGACAAGAGTATAGAAGCCACTAATTCAGTTATATGAGTGTCACGAAATCTTCGTATTTGATTCCAATATTGAATCTCACTTAAGCCTCCTTTGTAACGAAAACAGAGAGAAAAAAGCGCAAAACTATGCTTGGCGTTACTAAAAATTCAGTCACAAATTTTTAACGATAAGATATTAAACCTTGAATTGTAATGCTTGAAAACATTTTCATTTGTAATGCTTGATTTAAGTAGTTCATTCTATATACCCAGATCGTGAATTTAATCAATACAAAAAGAATTTTACACCATGGCTTGTGAAAAGTGGTATTGCTTGAAATTGGTTTATCATCGTGTATAGCCGAGACGTACAAGTGTTAAACACCTTAGGAAATAGGAAGAAAAAAGTTTCCAACTCAGAAATATACGTGGAATTTTGACTGCTACTAAAACAAAGAATGGTAAGATCACAACACAGCAAGTGAAGGCTCAAGCTATAAAGGATATAACAGACATTAGATGAGGTATCCAAAAAGACGCTCAAGGAATTTGAACTCACTCAGGGAAACAAAACACCTCGGTGGGCAAATATGTCTCGTGTATATCAACATTAACAACACTTTTATCCCAAACCAATTGTGTTGTAAAACAAATAAACAAATAATTATCTTCATATGCCGGGGTAAAAACAACATCAATAACACCTTTATCCCATGGTAATAATTCTAGCCGAAAATTATAAAGGTCCTATCATTGGTTATGAACATGTTTTGGCCAATGCATAGATGAAATAAGACTTCATAGAATCAAGATGGGGTAGGTTGTTGAACAATGACAGATGTTCTTAAAAAAAAGTTGATCCAAATGAACAGTTTTGTCCCAGACCAAAGCCATGGCTATCCGGTGGACATTATCCCTCATCATTCAATGATAAACAATAAACATAAACATGAATTGTTATTCAAAATTAATGAAAGTATACAGATATTATTAACAAATTACATGAAAATGTGCCAAATGACAAGTTCAGGCAACATGATTTATACTCGCTCAGGCAGTTTTTCTGGTATGGTCCAGCCATAATTCTACAGCATAAAAGTAAATAAAAGTAGTGATAAATCTATGGTAACCCGACCCACTTATCTTTCCAGAATGACAGCCACCGCCTTATTTTGACTCTTGTTATCCATCAGTACAGTCACACCCCTACACATAATACAGTTCAAATGCAAAGAAAGGTCAGGCATCATACAATCACACATCTTCCTTTGTAAAGATGAAAATATTAGGCATTCTTGATATTTTAAGTATAACTGTTTCTTTCATTTTTAAAATAAATACACAGAATTAATTTAACCCAATGGGAAAGATGCCAACATTTTGAAACATAAAAATATGAACCTAGCATTATTTTCAGGTTACTTATCACATGTAAACAACTAAACAACATAAATAGTACAAATGAGCCAAAAAAAATAAGTACATACAACAAATTCTAGCACAGCAAAAACCGAAATTGCAGTGTTCAACAAACGTTCTCCTCAAATACTTTTGATATTAGAATTCACCCCCCTACTAAAGCATACCACAGACATAATTCTTGTAGCAATATATTTCAATAAGAACTGAATGCTACCCAATCAAAGCTAAGAAAAACAAATATCCAATTCAACCATATATGAATATCAAAAATATGTCCACATGCAAGTTGTAAGAAATCCAAACCTCTAAAACAAGAATGGGTTCATTGGAATTTTATGTTATAATAAGCGGTAATAATAAACAAAACATGAAAATAAAATTCAGGGAAAACTTTCCACTCTCTCTGACAAATTTTTACTTTTATCAAATTACTTTCCCAAAAAAAAAAATTGTAGTCAGACACTGACACTTTCTTTAAGCTAGCTAATTTAACAAGCCACATCCTTAAAAGAGGTTTCAATAATACCTAAGTATTCAGCATCTATTACTTCATTGGAATAATATACTACCATATTTCAGCAATATGACACCTGGTCATGCAGCTAAGTTCATACTAGCTCCAAAATATGTTTTCCAAACATGCCTCTCTCCAACATCTCTAAGCATCTAATATATTTGTGCCTGATCCATCAATTTAAGAGTAAATATTTTTTTTTTCATCTACCTACCTTACATTTATCAGCTGTTTTCAAGCCTGATCATATATAAAATCAGGAAAGGTGGTATAAACGTTTATATAAATGATTAAAAAGGAAAAATGAGAAGAAATAATTTAAGAAACAACCTTGGTATAAGCCTAACCAGTAGCCTGCAGCAACTCTCTTTCTGCATGCTCTCTAATCCTTCTCTCAAGCTCTGGCCTGAAATGCCTGATAAGACCCTGCACTGGCCATGCAGCAGCATCACCCAAGGCACAGATTGTGTGCCCTTCAATTTGCTTAGTCACTTCCTGAAGCATATCAATTTCTTCTAGCTTGGCATTCCCAACTTTCATTCTTTCCATGATCATCCAAAGCCATCCTGTACCCTCCCTGCATGGTGTGCACTGCCCACAGCTTTCATGCTTGTAGAAGTAGGAGAGTCTTGCAATAGCATCCACAACATCAGTAGACTTATCCATCACAATCACAGCTGCAGTCCCCAACCCTGTCTGGACAGCCTTCAATGCATCATAATCCATCATAACATCATCACATATATTCTTTGGAATCAGTGGAACAGATGATCCTCCTGGAATCACTGCAAGTAAATTATCCCATCCTCCTCTAACACCTCCACAGTGCCTCTCTATCAACTCCTTCAGTGGTATACTCATTTCCTCCTCAACAGTGCAAGGTTTGTTCACATGCCCTGACACACAAAACAACTTTGTCCCAGAATTGTTCTTCCGACCAAAACTGGCAAACCATTCTGGCCCACGCCTTAGAATGGTTGGAGAAACAGCCACAGTTTCCACATTTGTTACAGTGGTGGGACAGCCATACAATCCTGCATTGGCTGGGAAAGGCGGCTTTAATCTTGGTTTACCTTGTTTCCCTTCAAGGCTCTCCAAGAGGGCTGTTTCCTCACCACAAATATATGCTCCAGCACCATAGTGGATATGAACATCAAAATCATAGCCTGAGCCACAAGCATTCTTACCCAATAAACCAGCTGCATAAGCCTCTTTCCTAGCAATTTCAAGATTTATACGTTCATTTACATATTCACCCCTGATATAGATGTAAGCAGCACTAGCCCTCATTCCCACTCCAGCAATCAAGCAACCTTCTATCAATTTATGCGGGTCATGCCGCATAATTTCCCTGTCTTTGCAAGTTCCAGGTTCACTTTCATCAGCATTAACGACAAGATAGGAAGGGCGGCCATCAGATACTTTTGGCATGAATGACCATTTGAGGCCAGAAGGAAAACCAGCACCACCACGCCCACGGAGGCCAGACTTCTTAACTTCATTCACAATCCAATCAGTGCCCTTAAGTACTAAATCTTTAGTTCGATACCAATCACCCCGTTTCATGGCACCTTTGAGAAAAGGATCACCCTGCCCATATAAGTTGGTAAAAATCCTATCCTCATCCTTAAGGCCACCAAAATGGGTTTTCTCTGGAGGTGGAGGTGGGGGTGGAGGCTGTGGAGTACTAGCAGTTGAAGCACCCTGGGTGCTAAATAATCTGAAACCCAGGCCCAACTTCTCATTATGATGTCTAACCAAGGCTGTCCTCTTTAAAGAAAGAATGCCCCTCATGGTTGCCTTACCTGTCAGTAATTCCAAGTTTTCAAACAAAAGATTTTGGATTATTCAAATTGTACATAACACATACCATCAAACAAAATAATGCTAATAAAATTGGCTATTAACTTTGGGGCTAACCAATTAAATCAGAGCATATGAATCAACACTCGGAAGCTTGTTTTCAAATTTCCAATTAATTTTAATCAGCCTCAACTGGGAATTCAAAGGCATACAATCAAAATAATAATCAGTAGTCAGACCATGTCATAGTAAACTGAGAATTTTCATAAAACAATAACCTCGGATATACAGCACTCATCAAGTCACCACCATACAACCACAATCCCAACGCAATCAGACATAAACAAAAAACTCAAAATAAAATTCATTTTGCAATTATCAAGATTTCAAATCAATAATCTTACACAAAAAATTGCAAATATATATATATATATATATATATATATATATATATATATATATATTAAAAAAAAAGGCTTTGGGGAAATTGTTGAAACCCTAGAAAGAATAATATGAGTTTCGGGTCTCAATTATATGCAAATCCAGGAAAAAAAAAATCAATAGTGGGTCAGATTGCATTGCACGCGAACTGTAACCCTGAGAGTGTTTGAAGCTGAAATCGGATAGAAACTAAACTAGGGCACAGATTTGAGATGGGTGGGTTTCGATAAAGAAAGAGAAAATGATGAAATGAAAGAGCAGGTACCAGTGGCGACGCTGTTGATGACTGAGATCTGGTGAGTGCTGAAGCTCTTGTTTTGGGTTTTTGTTACTCAGCTTGGTTTCTTCTCCTTTGTTTCTCTTTTTTTTTTTTTTTAGTAAATTCTCTAATTCTTTTTTCCCTTAAAAAAATTATATATATATATAAAATATAAAATTGTACATAATTTTTTTCTCACTCTTCACTTTACAACGGAACTCACTCATTTTTAAGTAAATCTAACAGAGAAATATTTTCTATAACAAAAGTAGAAATATTATATATATATATATGGGTTCGCTTTTTCTACAGTTAATGTAGATAACTTATCTACAGTAAGTCCAAAACGACGTCGTTTTATGGCAGAAATTAAGGTATTTTTGTAATGATAATTTATATCAGGATTATAATAGTTTTTTTCATTATAATCTTTTAATTTTTAAACCCAAAACGACGTCGTTTTGAGAGCGAATGTAGATAAACTTATCTACATTCACTTTAGAAACATTAAAGCCTATATATATATGGGTAAAGCATTTCTTCAGTCAATGGAGATAAGATATCTCCATGAACACAAAACGATGTCATTTTATAGCGAAAATTAATGTTTTTTTATAATTTTAATTTATTGCAGAGTTATATTAGTTTTTATGATTATAATATTTTAATCTTACAACCCAAAATAACACTGGAGATAACATTATCTCTACTGGAAAAATATTTTTTTCTTTATATATAGATATATATATGTGTAAAAAATATTTCTCTTGTAATTTAAAATAAGATTATTTTCAACAATCTGAAAACGATGTCATTTTGGGGATTTGAAAAAAATATAATGTATTTTATTAACTTTATTTTTTTATCATGTAGTTTTACTAAATTACACTGTATTTTTTTTTTTCCAAAACCACATAACAACGTTATTTTGGTATTGTAGGAGTAACGTTGATTTATTTATATATATATATATATATAAGATTTTTTTGACACCAGTATCAAATAAAAAGTTGGACATCTCAAATCGTTAGATCAAGAGTGTCACATACTTGTAATTAGAGTCGTTAGATCAAAACAAGATCAACGACTTTTAAATGAGGTGTCAAACTTTTTGTTTGACTCCAGCATCAAATGATCTTGTCTCATAATATATATATATATATATATATATATATATATATATATATATATATATATGGGTAAAGTGTGTGTCATTTTAAAAGATGTAAAGTTGTGTTATTTTAAGAGAGAGAAAGAGATAAATAAAGAAGGAAAGAGAGTTGACAAAAAAATAAAGATGTGGGTCCCACTTCTTTGTGCGAGTAAAAGGATATAAGTTGTGTCATTTAAAAGGATAAACATTTTTCCCTATATATATATATATATATATATATATTTGGTTTTAAAAAAAACTGGGTAACATTTTTTGGCTTTTGTTTAGCCACGTCGCATTTTAGGTAAAGAGATGGTAGAGATATGAATGCTGAAAGTGGCATGAGCCGTGACGAAAAAGAAATTCTACTTTTGTTTTTTTTTTTTATAAAGGATTCTACTTTTTCTTTAAGTAAGAAAAAGTATGAAGAAATTTAAGTAATAAATTTATGATATATTTTTTTCTTATATAAGGGTTGATGAAAATAATATTAATTGCATTTTTTATAAAAGGCATTATTAATATTTGAACATATAAGCTCATATAAATTAAATCTAATTCCCTCACAACTATCTCACTCTTTGTGGCTTTCAACTGAAGAGATTTAAGTTATATGATAATATTTCGAGTGATAGTGTTTTTTATTGATAGTGTATTTATAATTATATGTAAACGTTATATGTGATGGGATGAAATAAGTTAGTTTCATCTCATGTCCCTCAAATTGAGAGAAGAAAAATAAATATAGTGGATGAAATGAGTTAGAATAGGTTCATTATGTTTTATTCCATTTCATCTGAATCATCTCATTTAATTGTTATATGCTTTAATCTTTAAATATGATAACTTTTTCTCTTCTTTAATTTGTTTGATACATAAAAATATAATATTTAAAAATCCATTCTTTTTTAGATATATTTTGAGTTCTTATAACACAACTTAGGTTCATTTAGTTTAGATTTTAGTATAATTAATTTTAAAAGAAGTGATGTAAAAAAGGTTTTTTTTTTAAATGATATTCTAAATTTAGTTTAGTAGAATCAAGTTCGTTTGGATGATAAAGTAAAATCAATTTTAAATATAATTATAACTAAAGTTTAAAAATTTTGTGGATCTTATGCCTAATACAATTATAAATAAAGTTTTTTTTTTCTTAGAAATAAATTTTGATGGGATATTATAACTAATGTTAGCATATAATCCAAAGACCAGCAAAAAAGAGTATTGCTACCCTTCACGTGCTGACCAATATTGGTGGACATTCATTTAAACTTTTAAGTGATCAGCTCAATATGAGATGTCTGTTTTGATTTTGGACAAGGGACTTTATAAATTTGTGTTTGATGTATGATTATTCTAATCCAACCTCATATTTGATTAGTACCTAATACCTTTCTTTACGATTGATCTGGATTCACTACATGCAAGATAGAGGCCCAATTATCAAAAGCCCAAAAAACCCATGTGACATAGCCTAGCCAAGAAGACAAGAATTTCGCTGATATACTTGGCAACCAAGCCAACATAACTTAACCTAAAAGGAACCATCATTGTCGATGTCAGAAGCTCAAGCAAGTAGGCCACCATCAGGAGCCAGTGAAATGATGGCAACTCCTACTTGCCACCATATCTACAGAATCTACTTTGAACATAGGTTTACCCACTAAGGAATAGCATGAGAGGCCACCCATCTCCATCAATTAACATGAACATAGCCTTATGAAGTACGGTGATAAACACGGTGCTCAAGCACTATAAGTACAGAGGCCATTTGCCCTGGTATGATATTTATCTTTGAATACTTGAACCTCCTTGGATATCTAACTAACTTGAGCGTCAAAGTGTCATTGCAGGTACCCCCAGTCTCTCTCAAACTGTTCAGATAAGCAAAAACGTTATCCAACCATCTTGCAACTCAATATACCATCTCGGCAAGCATCCAACATCAACACATCTACCTCGCCTTCTCTCCATCAACATCCTCTACCTTCAAACGTGTGTGATTAGGCCCAGACCAATTGTTGTTGGATTGATCATTGGCGTCATGTGTGAGAAACAGTAAATTTCTAATCTCACTCTCTATAAATTAAAAAATGGTTGATATCAGGAGAAAGATGTCCAAATCCCAAAACATTTCCAGAGGCAAAAAGAAGGGAGGTCAGTCATCCCGTCAAAGGACTGCCCCCTTCGTTGCACTAGTTTCTCTCCGTAGAGAGCCACCAACAAATCAACAGATTTTTGAGCTCCTTAGATAACAAACCCAAAAGATTGAAAAACAACAAAAAAGGTTGCAAAAGTTGAAAAAATCGTAGGTTCAACTTGAAAAATAATCAGATAATAAAAGATCTAATGAAAATGAGCAGGGACCAAAACCATCACAAAAAGATCCTGGTTTATCTCACAAAGGCAAACAAAAGGTTAATGATCACCATGTAGACTAGAATTCCCACTAGAACCCACAAACAGTTTCAAAAGTGGCTCATCCTTTTACCACGCAGATTATGCAGCTGCCCATTTCGAGAGATATAAAAATCATTACGAAAAAATGCAATGGAAAAAGAGACCTACAGGAGTATTTGGAGCAATTTCAAACAAATATGATGGCTCACGATGTCCTTGATGTTGTAGGTTGTTGTCTCTTCCCAACAACGTTGAAAGAAGTTACTCTTAGGTGGTACTCAACTTTGCCACCAAACTCAATCAACAATTGGGAAGATTTCGCCAACCAGATCTTGGTGAGGTTTGCAACAAGCAAAGCTCATTACAAATCCAAGCATGTGCTTAAAACTGTTAAGCAAGGTGCTAACGAAACCTTACGAGATTTCTCAACAGATTTTCTTGACGAAGCCTTGCTGGTAAAAGATCTTGACCCACAAGTCTCTTTATATTTTATTACTGATAGTTTACTTGATGGGCCATTTTCTACATCTTTGGTCAAACAAAGGCCAAAGACCATAAAAGAATTACGAGCGAGATCCGAGAAGTTTATTAATCTTGAGGATTATAAACGATCTCGCGGAGGCCCAAGTGAAAAACTTGCGGCCAGTGAATTCAAAAAGAAATTTTCAAAAGGATTTTCAAAGGAGGTTTAAGGAGAAGAAAAATGGGAAAATTTTGAAAACTACACCCCTCTTAACACCTCTCAATCTCACATTCTGAAGGAAGTCTTTCACACTGGTTTTGGTAAACCTCTTCTGCCCAAGAGGAAAGGTAATATTGATAAAACAAAATTTTGTGAATTTCATGACGACGTAAGCCATGCCACTAAAGAATGTTTTGACTTCAAAAATATCATTGAGGCTTTGATTCGAGAAGGTAAACTCAAAGAGTTTATCATTACTTGTAAATAAGATAAAATTCAAAGTAAACGAGATAGAAGTCTCGATCAAGATAGGAACTCTAGAGGAAATTATCAGTGTAAGAGGAATTATAAACAAGCTAACAATAAGTGAGATGACACACCCACCAACTATGGACCTTATGACAGACATAGGGAAAGAACCCCGCGTGAAAGAAGACAAAATGAACAACTTGTAGCATGAGAGTGTAACCAACCTCGGTTGCCCAATAATGTTGTTGGAGTGTTGGGGACTATTGTGGGAGGTGCTGCAGGCAGAGGAGAAACCTATTCCTAGAGGAAAAGGCATATGAAAGCCATCATGATTGTCAGCAATTGTCCGAAGGATCCATCTCGCTTGACTAACAAAGCTTCAATCAGTTTTGATGAAGATGACTATGGAGACATAGTCCTGAACATGATGGTCTTCTGGTAATCTCTGCCACAATGGAAAATTTACAAGCGAAAAGAATTTTAGTAGATAATGGAAGCTTAGCTGATATTATAATTTAGGAAGCTTTCAAAGGCACAAACATCCCGGAACAACAAATAGCACCTAGCTAGACTGACTTGCCGGGATTCTTAGGTGAATACATGCAGCCAAAAGGCACAATTGAATTACAAGTTACATTCGAGATCCTCCTTAAAAGTAAAACCATCAAGGTATGCTTTTATATTATAGATTACCCATATGTTTTTTGGATGGCAGGTTTAAGAATTTGGAAAGTCCGATAAACAAAGCTTATGTTGTCCATTTTTATTTAAACGGTAGCTATTATAATTTGGATGAAGTATTTGTGTTAAGTTTAGATTCTATACAGTTATGGGATTGTATAGTTTATTATCATGTTGTGAACATAAAGGATAAAGTTTTAATTTATCACGTAGTTTCAAGAGAGCTATCGTGATACTCTATAAGTCTTCTGCTATTTCTTAATCAATTAAGTGTGCATCTGTACCGTTTCTGTGTAGTAATTCGGTTATTGAAATCAGGGTGTTACAATGGATGAAGGTGGTGATGACTTTAGCAGAAAGAGAAGGGAGATGGATTGGTCGGTTGTGAGAGACTTGCTTGTGGGTCGGAGGTAGGTGTTTTGTAGATTCAGCGGCGGTGGAGGCTAGTGGTCGAAGGGTTGGGTTTTGGTGGATTTGGTCGGATGAAATTGGTGGTGGCCGTGGAGGTTTGTGACATAGAAGATGATATTTGGGGTTTCAATGAAAGGTGAAACAAGAATGGGGTTTGTCGGTGGTGGTTTGGTTGGGCACGATGGTGGATATGTGGTTCACCGATGAAGATGAGAGGTGATTGCTGGCTTCTATGGTGGTTATAGAGGTCGGTGGTTGTTGGAGGTGAAGGACAATGGGGGTTGTTGGTCGATGGAAGAAGATGAAAGAGGAAATGATTTGGGTTTTAAAAAAAATTATTAATTTTTTGTATTTTAATTTTGTTTCAGCTTTTTTTATTAAGAGAAAGGGTTGAGAGTGGCCAATGAAAATAACAAAAACAGAAAATTGATTCTCTTTTTGTGCCCTGGAACGGAGAAGCAAAATTTTTTTAGTTCTTTTTTTTATTCCCCAGCACAAAAACAAATCGGTTTATCCCGGGAACAAAAAAAAAATGGGTTTTACCAAATGTTGTTTCTATTCGTTTCTGTACCCAGTAACAGAAATTAAAAAAAATGATTCTCGGATGATTGTCATACACATCCAAAGTGTTCCAATTGGTTCTTATATGGGTGGCAGGGATAAGCTTTTCAGAGAGATTGCAAAAGCATCTCGTTAGCTTTTGTTGACTGAGGTATATTACATTAGATATATTTCTTCATGTTGAAGGCTTCACAATTTCTTCATGGTGAAGACTTTAAATATAGACCTTGTATTTCATTCTAGATCACATACCAAAAAATACAACCCAAAAGATAACTATTTTTTGTTTGTTTATGTATGCTAGACTGGAAAACTAAAAAAAACAGATATTGTATTAGGCTCTTTGACCAGACTGGTGTCCTTGTGCTTTTAATGTATCAAATTGGTATTTGATTGGGAATAATTACCATTTGGGGTCTTTAAGTGTCGAGGGGAGGACTCAGCGACTCTAAATCACACCCTCAATTCCCCGCGACACATGTAACACCTCGTCTACAGCTGGTGTATTAAGATATAAATGGTATTTAAATCGCAGCTTGCAATAATTCAACGCATGCTCACATCAAATAACAAGATAATCCATCAAGTCTAGTCGTAATAAAGTATCATCATGGAAGAATAAATAATCATAATGTGCATAACTCATAACAATAATGAAATCTCTATGTTGGCCCCTTGCCTCTATTAGTGTCCGTCTCACGAATGTCATCTCCTGAAAATGTGCTCCAAAAAAGGATGAGATTTCTAACAGAAATCTCAGTAAGACAATGGGTCCTCAAAGAATACTCCACCCCAATCTCACTTAAAGGTATACTATAAGTTATAAAATAGTGCATACAGTATATAAAGAAGCAACTCAAAAGTATAACAATCCTTATGTAATTTCAACACTAAAATAAAATCTGAAATACCTTGTACTCATAAATAACAATTCAAAAGTATCCATAACACATGGTGATACAATACAAATACTCAAGTCAACAAATAACAGATTATTTAATAGCGGCATAGACAACACCCATGCTCACATCAAATAACAAGATAATCCATCAAGTCTAGTCGTAATAAAGTATCATCATGGAAGAATGAATAATCATAATGTGCATAACTCATAACAATAATGAAATCTCTATGTTGGCCTCTTGCCTCTATTAGTGTCCGTCTCACGAATGTCATCTCCTGAAAATGTGCTCCAAAAAAGGATGAGATTTCTAACAGAAATCTCAGTAAGACAAGAGGTCCTCAAAGAATACTCCACCCCAATCTCACTTAAAGGTATGCTATAAGTTCTAAAATAGTGCATACAATATATAAAGAAGCAACTTAATAACAAGATAAGGGGATTGGCTATACCGGGCCATTTATAGCAGTAAACAATGCAGTATATAAAATAAGCATGCCATGCACTATATCAAATGAGTGTGCAATGTCGAATATGTCCATGTCATGTGTGTATGCATCCTCAACCATACATCATGTGGGTGCGCAAATCATAATCCTACTCGCTAGAGAACAATGTAGGTATTACGCACGTCTACAACCTACTCAAAAGTATAAGGAGTTCACCTTATATCCACACTGCAGGAGTTCTACCCCTTACATGGAGTCCACCATGCTCAGGAACCCTATACAAGTGTTGTGCACACTGCCCTACCTACATATACATGTAGCAATGCATTATAGCATAATCCATCTCAACAGCATACACCATACTCACAACATAAACAGATATAATTGCATAATCCAGCTCAACAGCATATCCAATACTCATAACATAACAGATAGAATTTCCAGAAAATATATCATGCACGTAAACCAATCCCCCATGGGATTTGGTAGAACAAGTAATGGGTAAAATCGAGGACCAAAGGCTTACCTGTATCGGTAAAGTCCTCCAACACAAACTCAATATCAACAGGGTCACCCACAGTCACACAATTCGACAAGTACAACTTGTTTTATATCAAACATACCATTAATAATCAGATTCTACAACTTCATGACATTTGAACTACATTTTCTTTTTCGTTTTGTGACTACAGGCTTCTCCCAAAGCCCCCAAGCACAAAATTATATTTACCATCTGCAACTGCAACTCTTTACCAAATATTATAATATTTTATTAGGTTAAACTAGCCATCACAAGCTTTTCAACGATATATTATACGTCTCATTTGGAGTTACATAACTCTGATTATGTTTTTCGTAAAGTGACTGCACAAACTAAATTTCCAGCAATAGAGAAGCGACTTCAAGCTAACACCGCGATCAAACCATTTATCCAATGGCTATTAAATTTTACAATTTTATATTCTTATGTGATAGTTTCACATGGATTCAAACCTCACTTAATTTGAAGCTCTGTAGCTCGAGATATTGCGATTTTACTAAACTAGGTCGTTGTTGTCTCAAAGAGTATTTAATTACTGCATTTTTCCAGAAAGTATTCGAATACTTCCCGAAAAGTATTCTAATACTTCTTCGACAGAATGCAGAAAATTGAGTTTTTAAGGTATGATTGACCTCCAATGATCTCCCAAACTTGTTTAGTCATTTAATTAACATACCAACACGTTTTAAACACCAAAACAACTTCAAGACTCAACCTTTAACCTAAATCATACTTTTTATCATGAAGAACAAAGAAAAGGTCATTTTTTTCACATGAACACGAGAGAGATGTTTGATATATACCTTGGGCTCACCAAAATAGAGAAAGAAGAAGACTTTAGAGGCTTAAACTCCACTCTCTACCACTGTCAAGTGATGTGCACGAATTTGGGTCTTCAATGTTGGTTCTTTCTTCACAAAGGTGGCTTCATGATGATGAGGAATGGTTTACAAGCAACTCAAACTTTGTAAATATGGATGATAGCCCCTGAACTCTAGTCAAACAGAAACGTAACCCTTCAAGAAATGGTTTTTCACCCACTTAAAGCTTGTTCACAAGCATCAATGGTGTTTTGGTGAAGAAAGTAAGAAGAAAAGTGATAACTTGGTGGTTTTCTTGAAGAAAGAGCAATGATGTTGGTGTAGAAAGCTTTGGGCAGCCATGAAGAAGAAAGAAAACTCTATGTGGGTGTTTAAAATCTGACCTAGGATTTAGTGCCCATTCTTATATATAAGTGCACTCACTCAACCTAACAAGATTGGTTTAATTAGTTTCGCTCTTTGTTTACCTCTAAAATTTGATATTATTAACCTAGATATTTTTCTAGGAATTATCATATTTTATATTACTTTTTCGAGACTTTTCTGGTACGCACTTTCTACTGCGATAGTCGATATTAGTTCTGACATCACTGCTTATTATTTTCATCTCAAATTTGATATTATTAACCTAGATAATTTTCTAAGAATATTCATATTTTTATTTCTATTTTTACGATTACTTCACTGGTATCCATTTATACCGCGAAATACCCGATGTTTACACAATCCTTCAAATAGGTGGCTTAATATTAATTATTATGCTCTTTTAATATTTATCCAAATTCAATTATAGAATTATTTTCTAAACTCATAATTAAATTATTTAAATTCTTAATTTAGCGGTGCGAGTTCTTACAACACTCAACATTATTTTTATTTTTTTTAACCCAGTTATGCCCTACACGACACTCGTGTAGTTTTTTTTTTACTTGTAAATGTCGTCCTCATCCCCTACGACACTCATTTAACAATTTTTGTTTTTGTTTTTAGGTGTCGCCCCTACCCCCGGGGAACTCGGACAGTATGCCAAATGACATAATCTCAGCCGTTCGAGTTACCCTTTGTTTTTTACCTTCTCGTGTAGTCTCTCTTTCATTCGCAACTTTCTTCATTTTTGTAGCAAAACTTCATATCTTTTCGTTCAGGTACGTTCATCTTTTTCCATTTGCAGCATACTCTTCCTATTTGATTTTTTTTCATTTGCAGTATAAACTGGTTGCATCAGAGTGAAGCTTCCTCTTCCGAAACATAATAGTTATAATACACCAAGGCAAGTTAACATCATTTCATTTTTTTCTTTAACGTCAGTTAATTTTTTAAATTATATTTAGATATTTGACATAATATTTAGAATAACTAATTTAGTTTTTCTAACACAAGCTTGAGCAATTAAGTATATTTATATATTTGACTCATTTAATTAGTCATTGATGAGTATTTTTTAGTATCTTAGTAATGTAATTTAGAATAATTGATTTATAATTAATATTTAGGGTTTCTTTTAATTAGTGAATAATTATTATAATTTTTTAAATTAATTTTTTTGTGTTATCATAACATTGGCCCATGTAATATATAGAGATTTTACATAATACTTAATTTTTTATGTTTATGTGTAATTAATTATATTTAGATATTTGACAAAATAATTAGTCATTCATGATTAGTGTTTAGTATTTTACTAATGTAATTTTCAATAATGTAATTTAGAATAATTTATCCTATTTCTAATTTTTCTAACTTCTTGTTTAATGTTTTTACTTTTTTCTTCTTGATATGGGGTCAGTTTACACAATCGTATATTACAATGGTAGAATACATGAAGGTGCTACAAGATAGACATTTGACTATTTGAGGGGCAAACCAAAGGAATGCAAATATGATGCGGTGTGGGATTGCATGATTTAAAATCAATGATTGCAGAGAAATTGAAGCTCGGTCCCAATCAATTGGTGTCTAGGTTAATCGGGCAGTATCGTACAATTGAAAAATTTGTTGTGCTTGAAATTGCTGATGATGGTGATGCTGATATGCTGTTCAATCTGTTTCAACAACAGTCTATAATGACAATGCTTGAATTGCATGCCGACATTGCTTGTGCGGGCAGTTTTTCATTGCCGATTGAGTCATTGGATCTAAATTTGCCACATTTTGATGCTCCATCACATTGCTAGCAGAACATAACTGTGGAAGATGAAGATGGTGTTGTTCACGTAGATGATGATTTGGGTGCCTCTGATGAAGATGTATATGAAGAAGTTCCTCCTAAGGATAACGACTCTGATTCTAATGAGGACACCAATAATGTCCAAAATGTCATCCCAACTAGTTAGTTATTTAACCTTGTGATTATTGTATTCTACATGTTATATTAATGTGTTACTTGAATGTGATAGAGTGTTAATATGTGTAGGTCAATCTAATACTCCATTATGGAATGCGAGTCTGCACTATACTTATATTAATTGGGAACCCCAGATCAAGAAAAAATTATTGTTGGGGGGAATGATGGTGCTTGGCAAATGGGGATAAATTATATGTTATTAAGAATTTGAAAGTAAGGAAGTGGTACAGTAGGCAATCAAATGTTATTGTATGAAGAATTATCACACTGCTTTTGTGGAGGAAAGCAAAAATAAAATAAAAAAATAAGCTGCTTATGAATTGTGTTAATCATGCTGAAGGATGTCCTTGGAGGACGATGTTATCGAGATGGCAAGATTGGTGGATTGTTACTAGATGGGGAGGCAAACACAATTATATAAACCTTTATCTTTCGCAGGACCACTGACAGCTCGATTCTGACTTCATTTGTTCATGTATTCTAGGTATAACATCTAAAAATATATGTGTTTGTCTAAGAAAATTAATGATGGTATAATGTACTTGCATTTAACGGTTGTATTCTCTAATTTTTTTATTAGGCATGGTTCAGGTGGATCTGTCAATTAGCATTGCACTTTTTCAGGAGAGAATTTCTGGACTTCATGGTTATACGGTATCCTATCAAAAAGCCCGAAAGGCCAAACAAAAAGCCATAGTTAAGTTATTTGGTGATTGAGAATATTCATATGCTTATCTAGAAAGATGGTTAAAGTACATGTCGTCGATATCCCTGACTATAACATATCAGTGACTGCTGATGCTCTTAGCGGTGTGTTCAACTAACTTTACTCGGTAAATGATGCAAACGGGAATGTTAGTCCTGCTTGTTCCATCAAAGATACACTCCATGGGACCACATGATCAGATGATGAAGCAAACTTGGGGCGATAATCATCTGTAGCAAAGAATAATGATGGCGAATGATGATGTGCTGGAGAATAATGTGCTGCTGAATGATGCTGGACTGGTGACTGATGATAAGAAGGTGGTTGATGGTAGAAAGGTGACTCATGATGGAAAGATTGCTCCTGATTCGATGTATATGTCTCTGATGGATAAAAGTAAGATTGTGACGGTCTCGCAACATCAGCGTAAAACATAACATGACCCCTAAGAGGAAGACAAGGCAACTTCCATGTAGCATGCTCAATTTGGGGTTTATTAAGTGCTAGCCCTTGTCTTTCCTTCCAACTGTCAGGTATTCGATCACCAACATCAATGGACTATGATGATAACTACGTAGGTGCAGATGCTGGCTCACCAGGATATGATATCCGATCATACTCTGCCTGCATGTTGAGCATATGCTCAACAACTGTCTAAATTTGATCGTGTGGCTGATGTGTCTGTAGCATGTAATGAACACGTTGAAGGCGATCCGTCTGCATATACAAAAGGGTAATACGATTTAACAATTGTAATAATTCTCATAAGGTAATAATAAATCTAACAAATAACATATCTCAACTCACCAATAAACCCGAGTGACATTCCTTCTTGGTGATCCATCGTCTAGTGATTCCTCTATACCACACCATGTAATATGAGTTAGTGCCTAATATGCGGTCATGTGGATGAGGTGGAGCATTCTGAATTGAATCTTCTCTCTGAGCCCAGCGTAGTATGAACTGCTGCATTTGACGAGGTCAGAGAACCTCAGTCGTTCCCCTCAATGTGAGGTGGTGCACCTCTTGCGGTTGTAAATATTTTTGAGGCATATGTTGACCCATCCCAAATTGCCTCATAACACAGTCAGGTTGATGGTAATCTACAATCTGAAAACATATCATTGGCGCGATTGCTCTCCAATGATCACTAATTTCCTGAATATGCTCTAGCAAATCAATCTCTAAGTACGAAGTTCATATAATCTGCCAAAAAAAAAGAAAAAAAATTAGGCTAAATTATAATTTAGCACCCTATATTTAGACCCTTCTTCAAAAAGCCACCCTATACTTTTAATTGATTCAATGAGCCTCCTTAAACTATGTCATTAAAACAATGAAACATATACGTTAATGAGAAATCTGATTCCGTTAAAATCTCAACGTGGTTCAACAAAAATATTTTGTACTTCTACAAAAATAAACAATAGATGTGTTTCAATTTTTTGTCACTTTCGTTTTGTTTTTTCGATAGTTCAGCTTTTAATGGCTTATACATAGAGGTCAAATAGAAGCATATGCTCCATCACATCCCAAGTAACCTCCCAAAATGGGAGCGAACGCCACTATTTGCACCATCATGAAACCACCCCACAACTCACGTCGGACCAAGGTGTCAGCTCTGTTGCCAATGGTTGATTTTTTTCTTCTCCATTTCTTCCAATTTTTTTCTCATTGAGTTTTGTACCTTGGCTCCTTGTACAGGAAGCAGACCTTGAATGATCTTTACTACCTGTATCACAAATTTTAGAAAATTTAGGTAAAATTTGCTTAAGTTGCATTTGGTTTTTCTTGTTGGAATCACACAATGAGAAATTAAAACTTTTGAAATTGTACACAAAAGGAAAGAACAAAATGAAAGTGACAAGAAATTGAAACACAATTATTTTTATTTTTGCAGAAGAAGGATAAAATATTTTTTGTTGAACCACGTTAAGATTTTAATGGAATAAGATTTCTCAATAACGAATATGTTTAATTGTTTTAATGATATAGTTTAAGGAGGTTCATTGAATCAATTAAAAGTATATGGTGGCTTTTTGAAAAGGGGTTTAAATACAGGATGGTAAATTGTAATTTAGCCAAAAAATTACAATAAAAATTAATATATCTATCTATATATATATATATATATATATATATATAAAAGTGGGAAACACGTTGCAAGTACCTGATGCTCAGTCATCTTATCAAACCTCTCTCGATACCAGGATAAATCGTGAAAAATTGTCTTATGACCGGTCCATCTATGTGATATAATATATGTACAATAAATATCACATAATAGATATAAGAATCAAACCTTACATGTAAGATTAACATACCTTACGCCAACAGGTGTGCTATCGTCAAACTCTGGGATAGTTGGAATAGTCTTTGGAGTGATGGTAACAAATCTAGCCCAAGCCTACATCTGCAACACTACCAATGCACCAGATATTTCAATTTGATCAGGTGAGGTGGCTACGCACAAATCCCAATAAAGGAAGGCCAACACTACCGATCTCAAGCTAAATCGTCCACACGCGTCCAAGTCACTTAGAAAAGGTAGATATCGGAGGTGCACCCTACCACCACTGTGATCTGCAAGTAAAAAGCCTCCACTAAGGCGTAATATGTATGCTCGCGTGAATCGGAGAAGATTCTCTTCATCTTGCATCCAATGCTCCACATTTGCAAAATTTTGATCCAACCATGAGGTCTTAAGACAACCTCCATGCATATCAGATGCACTCGAGGTCCTCCCAAGAAGTTGTAGTACCATATCTCTCAACTGTCGCGTTTCAGACATGCCAGTAACAGATTCACCGTCCGTAGGAAGACCAGTGATCCTTGCAACATCCTCAAGTGTCACAGTAACCTCTCCCGGAAGCATATGAAATGTATGAGTCTCAGATCTTCATCGCACAACTAGAGTTGTGACTAATACACCACCAATATGCAAACCGTAAAATATTAATCAAAATAAAACAATTATTTTGTTTGATAAATTTTTTATAATTTAATATGTGTAGCATATAAAATACCTCCATACGAACCATCCGAGCATCGCCAAGAAAATCAGCACGGCATAAATAAGATACAATAGACTCAGGAATAACATCCAACCCCGCCAGCTGCATACATCTGATATTCAGAGACTTATAATTCATATCATCCATCCAAGCCATCTTTGAACGATGTGTATATTGCATGAATAATACAAAATCATTGCGAGGACTGGGATGAAGACGTCTCTTAGATGAATCGTTGTATGCCATCCCTAAATAATAATAATAATAATAATATAAAATATTGCATCTAATAAGTAATATTTAGAATAATTTTTTATATTACACGTATCACATATGTACATATTATCTAGTTATCTAATTACATAATTATCTAATTATTTAATTATTATATAATTATCTAGTTACACATATCAAATATCTATGATAACATAAAAAACATTGCATCTAATAAGTAATCAATAATTAAAACAATCATTAAGAAATAATCGTGATATATTTAAATGAAATAAAATTAAACATAACCAAATTTAAATATGCAATAAAGTTGAAAAAAAAAAGTTTTCTTACCTAATTATCAAATATCTAATTATTAAGTAAATATGTAAACAATCATGCTTATTGTTATGTAATTTTCTAATTTTTCTAATTACATAATTATCTAATTATTTAATTATTATATAATTATTAAATAATTATCTACGTATATATATAAAATATCTATAATAACATAAAAAATATTGCATCTAATAAGTAATCAATAATTAAAACAATCATTAAGAAATAATCGTAATATATTTAAATGAAATAAAATTAAACATAACCAAATTTAAATATGCAGTATAGTTGAAAAAAAGAAGAAGTTTACTTATGCAGTATAGTTGAAAAAAAGAAGAAGTTTACTTATCTACTTACCTAATTATCAAATATCTATTTATTAAGTAAATATTTAAACACTCATGCCTGTTATTATGTACATTTCTAATTATCTAATTATTTAATTATTATATAATTATCTACTTACATATATCAAATATTTAGAATAACATAAAAAATATTATATCTAATAAATAATGAATAATTAAAACAATTATTAATAAATAATGATGATATATTTTAATTAAATAAAATTAAGCATAGCTAAATTTAAATATACATTAAAACTAAAAATAAATAACATTACTTACCTTTTAGTTGTGCCTTGGAAAACGAAAACTATCAACCTGTTGAATCAAATGCCTTTTTGCCAAATTTTTGGTTTGCTTCCGTCCCCCAAATTTCTAGCTACGATTTGAAAAAAGAGATGTGATGAAAGTGATTTCAAGAAAGAAAGAGAGAGATTTGAAGAAACAAATATCTCAAGAAAGAGAAAAGAGGTTTGAGGAATGATTTGGTAGAAAGTAAAAAAGTGAGAGCTAGATTTTTTTTAATGGATTTTTATATGGGGATTCAGAGAGTTGGGTTCTGCCACTTGGCAAACCGTGTGAGTTTCCAACGAGGGCAACATTCATAAAAATAAAAAAAAATAAAAATTTTGAGTGTCATGAGAGGGGCTATGCAAAACTAAGATCAGATAAAAAAAAAATTAATACGGGGGATGAGGGTGTGATTTAGAGTCGTTGGGCGCTCCTCTTAACACTTAAAGACCATGGTAATTATTTCCAATCAGATTCCAATTCGATACGTTAAAAGCATAAAGACACCAATCTAGTTAAAGAGCCTCTTGTATTGTGTTTGTGTATCTTAAATTAATAAAAATAAAACGTTATACTTATAACCTAAAAGTTTTACAACTTATCTTTTTATCATTGATTTCCGTTTATCCAACAGTTATGATTCATCGGGTTACATTTATTATTAATTATTAATTTTCAATAATTATTTCCAATCAAATTCCAATTTGATACATTAAAAGCATAAAGACACCAATATGGTCAAAGAGGCTCTTGTATTGTGTTTGTGTATATTAAATTAATAAAAATAAAACGTTATACTTATGACCTAAAAGTTTTACAATCTATTTTTTTATCATTGATTTCCGTTTATTCAATAGTTATGATTTATCGGGTCACATTTATTAATAATTAATAATTTTTAATAAATTATAACCGTTGAATTGATGAAAATCAATAATAAAAAAATAGGTTATAAGAAATTATAAATTTTTTAGATTGTAATCATAATTAATCATAACATTCGATTAATCTAATAGTTATAAAAAGCAATGAAATACACCATCCCTGCAAAGAATATTGTCTTTGTCGGAGGACTCAGTATACGATTGATTGATAAATCATTATCTTTATGGCATATATATGTCAAGGGAAATAATAGTCTCATTTTGCATAAGAGAGTTATCTTATGTCATATATTCATAAAATTTTGTGCCAATTTTATTTTATTTTTTTTATATTGTGAACTCCACATATTTATGTGACTTACATGAGAATACTATCTTATGTAATATGAGATTAGTAAACTCCTTCTGTCAAACCAAGCAATGATAAACCTTAATCTCTTTAATATTATTTAAAATTAATTAAACTCTTAGTTTATTATTATAATAAACCTTATATTTAGTTTCTTATGATATCCGTAATATTAATTTTTAAAAAATAGAAATTATCATATGAATTCTTAAAATATAAAATCTTTTAATCAAATTAATCTCTTCAATAATAACATTAAAAACTAAGTTGATTATTTAGCATCACTTATTAATCTATATTATTCTAAAGTAAAACCGTTTATTGGAAACTTTGATGATGTGTCGCATTCTCCTTGAATATGAGGTTTGTGTTCACACTTAAAGGAATTTGAAATGTTTCCTGTTATAGTAACTTTTTAAATTGTTTTTTAGGCTTATAATTTTAAAAAAATAAATTGAAAACCGATTAAAAAAATAGTTTTTGACACACATAATTAGATTTCCACTATCTCTTTATTGGAAGCTGCGAAAGTTGGAAGCTGCAACAATTTATTGAATCTTATTGGGAGCTGAAAAGTTTTTTAAATTATTGAATCTTATTGGGAGTTGAGAAGTTTTTCAGAGTTATGCCTTAGTGGAAACTGATAGGTTTTTTTGCAATATTTTTTTTTTCAAATCTTTAATACGCAAAATTAAGTTTAATTTACGAAATTATTTTGTGTATAAATAAGATATGTTTCTGGATATTTTCATGTGCTAATCGTGCACATATTTTTTCCATTCTCTGTCTTTTTATCTTCTTCGTCTTCTAATATTGTTCTAACTAACGCTCTGGCAAACAGCTCTTCTCCACCTTGCAATCATAGGGCTTCGAACAACATCTTGGACCTCAAGATCCTTGCCTTTTCAGGTGTTGACGATCTTAAGCGCCGGATCGATCGCTCTCACTCTGAAATCCTCAAGGATCTCGAAGCTTCTCATTCGCGTCTCCACAAGCATTTCAAGGTTTCTTCTTCTCACGCTTTCTTGCTCTCCTTGGTTGCATCAGTTCAATAGGGTTTGTGAAATTCTTTGTGTGTGGTTACTGATGACAAATTTTTGATGGCATCTTTTTTGTAGGGTTGAACCCCTAATAGAAGATATATTGCATGAGAGTTGAACCCCAAGTCCGACGACATCGTTGAACTCCCTCTCTTCCCTCTCCCTCTGGTCCTTTTCCCCGTCACCATTCTTCCTCTCCAGATCTTCGAGTTCTGGTACCGGATAATGTTGCACATAGATCTCATCTTCAATGCTCTCTATAGCAATGTTGTTTCGGGAATACGTTTTATATATATTTGATGTCTTTTATAAATGATATTGTAATTTGATGATTCATGTTTTGGGTATTGGGGTTTTTCTTTTTTCTTTTTCTTGTGTGTTTGTAAGTTGTGAGTTATATTGATTTTATACTTGCTGTAAACTTTGATTACGCCAGAGTTTTGTCTTCCTTCACTTTCATGTTTACACAGAAGCAACCGATTTGCTACAAAAATTATCATTAGATACTCAGCCCAAGGCCTGGGAAATTCCCGAGCCTGCCAAGAAGGTAAATTTTTTGGTTTTTATGTCTGTTAGTGATTCATGATTGAACTTAATTAGTAACAAAAATAAAATTCTTTTGTGTATAAATAGTGGCTGGTGACTCAAAACCCAGAATTCAAATCAAAAGCATCATAAAACAAATTAGCTAATTACAAAGTCAAACTAAAGGAATTATAGATTAAACAAAAAAATATTTAAAATTATATATAATGTATAGTTGATTAAAAAATAATTTAAATTCAAAATTTAAATAAAAAATAAGAAATGACATATCTTCTATATCTACACTTAAAGGAAAATCATTATTTGGCAAGTTGCTGACTGTTGTTCTCTCCTCCAATATCCACATTCATACTACATACCACTTTAATTTTTCCACTTTTAAAAACGTTGCAAATTTAAATTTTTATTTGATAAGTGGGAAAAGATTTCAGCATTCATTACAAAATATTTCACTTTTCAGATTTGAATTTTGAAATTTAAACATGATGTGTGTGAAAATAGGTCATCATTTATTACAAATATAAAATTACACTTTCTGCCTTGGAAATATAGTCTATTAATTTCGTACATCCAAGAAAAACTATAATAACAATGAAACCACTATAAAGTAAATTTAATTTTAATAAAAAATTATTAATTAAACGGAAAAAATATTTAAAATTATAAAAATATAATTTAAAATAAAGTAAATTAAAATCTTAAGTTAAAATAATGATACAAAAAGGAAAAAAATCGTACAAGAAACTTTTTAATAAATACTTAAGATAAATATTTTAAATGTATTTATATATATATATGTATATAATATAAATTAAAAGAGAAAAAATTATTTTTTAAAAGTATGTATAATTAATTCTATTATCATGTTGAATTTTAAATTTTAAAATTAAATATATTATAAAGAAATCAAACTTTCATTCTTTTAATGTAAGAGTGTAATTAACACAATTTCCTATGTCGTGAATGATTACCTAGAAGCTATTACTTTGAGAATGTGCAGAGACTTCTATGCATGTTTCCCTTTATTTTTTGCATAGAAAATTGTTAAGCCTATTAATTTATAACTATGTCTATTGAGAGGGAAAATATTTAATACTTAAAATTTAAACTTTTTAAATTTGAATTTTGAACTTGAGAGGTGGGAAAAGATTCAGCATTTAATATTGATCACTACTTTCTGTATGGAAAATTATTAAGCATATTAATGATAGTTATTATTATGTCTATTGGACTTATTATTATAACTATTAGAATTTATTATAAAACTGGAAAAAATATTTGTATAAAATTAATTTAATTTAAATAAAAAATTACTAATTAAACGAAAAAAATATTTAAAATTATAAAAATATTCTTTAAAATACAAACGACACAAATCCTTGCAAAAAAATAATTATTTATTATTATTTTTTAAATCTGATTGTAATAAATGAAAGTCCATCTCTGAGATAAAATATAAAAATTTAAATGTGACGATAAGAACTTTTTGTGTGGATAAATATAAAATTCTATTGCATGCTGATAGTTAAAGTGGCAAACTGGGATCGGCCCGAAGGGCCGGCCCACCAACACATTTTTATAATTAAATTAAAGTTTTATCTTTCTTCTTTTATAATTAAATTCCTAAATCTGATTTTAATTGTTGTAAATACAAATTCGTAAAATTCAAAATACTAATGACACAAATCCTTGCAAAAAAAATAATTATTTATATAAAAGAGCGATAGCTAAAGGTTGCAAACTGGGCTTGGCCTAGAGGGCCTGCCCGCCCCACCCTTCAACACATTTTTATAATTAAATTAAAATTCTGTTATTCTTTTTTAATAATTAAACTCCTAATTCAGATTTCAATTTTTGTAAATACAAATTTATAAAATCTCAAATAATAACGACACAAAATTAAAATCATTAAAAAAGACAAAATTTGAAAATACAAATTTGTAAAATTCAAAATACTAATGACACAATCCTTGCAAAGAATAATTATTTATATAAAACAGTTATAGTTAAAGGTTGCAAACTGGGCTTGGCCCAAAGGGCTTGCACGCCTCGCCTGTCAACACGTTTTAATAATTAAATTAAAATTTCACTTTTCTCCTTTTATAATTAAATTCCTAATTCAGATTTCAATTTTTGTAAATGCGAATTTATAAAATTCCAAATACTAACTACACAAAATCACAAATCCTTGCAAAAAAATAATTATTTATTATTATTTTATAAATCTAATTATAATAAATGAAAGTTCATCTCTGAGATAAAATAGAAAATCTTAGACGTAATTATAAGAGCCTTTTTTGTGAATAAATATAAAAACGTTAGTTATAGGTAGCAAACAAACAAATTTATTTTTTCCCTGTGCATCGCACGAGTTACACTTAATTTTGAAGAAGCTTTTTTACTTAGGGTGCTGATTTGGAACATTATCCAAGAAAACTGAACGCTCTTAATGAAAAATTCATGTTATTTAAGGTCAACGTAAAAAAAAAAATTGGAGTCATATAATGAGCCAAGATATCAAGTTTCAAGTGTTTGAAGCAGTGAAGCTATTGTCACCTCATTCTTTAAGTCTTTGGTGGACCCAAATGTATGTTGTTATTTTTTAAAAATTTATCATTGTGGGTTCTTTATATTGTTACAAGTTTTTAGCATGTGTATTGATTTGATGATGTTTAGACACATTTGTTCCAATGTAAGCAAAAAATATGACTCATACATAACCATTTGAATAATTTGCTTTCAAATCCCTTTCAGACAACGTTTTTTGGGTTCTAAAAAAATAACCTATTTTTTTTTGTTGAGATTATTACTTCTGGGTGTTAACATATTAGCGTAATTTATTTAATGAGCATTTGCATTTTGTATCGTAGGCATAAATATGATGGTAGAAGAGGATGTCCCTGATAATGCATAAACATAGGAAATCACATGTTTGGTATGTGTTAAACTCATCCCTCCAATGATTGCTACAGAATGACACTGAATTAATAGTATAGGTACAAGCTGATCTTTTAATTCCATGTTTGCTTGGTCTGTTTGTTACCTTGATTTTATTAGTGACTGTTATAGTTAGCAATAAGTTGTATGCATTTTTTTCTTTTTTTAACCATCCTCATTTTAACATAGTCTACTATGGCATATTTATTTTTTACATAACTCATCGAGTAGATAATTATATTTGATTTGCATAATATTGATCACTCTAGATAGCATATTTTTGTTTATGGTTGACATTTGTAAAGTTTTGTGTCAATGTTGTAGTTTTTTCCACCCTAAATATAGAACAAGATAACAACACAGGTTTTTGTAAGTATAAGGTTTGCAGTGCGATTAACCAACCACAGCGGACGACAAATATTTTGTTCTTTTTTCTCCGGACATCGCACGGGTAATTCACTGGTACTAATAAATAGTTGTTTTTATCTACCAAAAAAAGAAGAAGTTGTTTTTCATTAATTTTTTTTATTAATAATAATTCACTCTCAGTCTCTCTCATACACTTACTCATCCATTTTCTTTCCTAGAATGTCAAATTTTCCCGAGAAAACTTACACACTCATTCACTCACTCAATTTCCAGTACCTCTCCACACACAGATCCGAAGGGTCATCCCAAAATTGACACTCTTCTCTTCTCTTTGCGTGGATATCGCAGGCATTAGATTCTTTTTCCGTTTTCGTGTTTCTAGCTCTTCTCTCCATAGAAGAAGTAAAAGAGGTTTCTTTGCATGACCCAGTTTTGTGCTTGCTTCTATTCAACCAGCAATGGGTGTCTTGTAGATTCTTCATCCTTGATCTTATTTTGATCAACAATTTCTCTCTCTCTCTCTCTCTCTCTCCCCCCCCCCCCCCCTTTATTTTTTTTGGGATTTTTGAGGTATTGGGAGTCCAAAGCCTGAATTTTTGAGTGATTCAATACGCCATCGGATTGAAGGATCTGAAATGAGATCTTCGGAGTAGAAAATTTTTAAATTTATTTTTTCAAATTTTTTACAGCAATTTATGTATTTGGTAGAGTGTTTTGCAATTTAGCAAGGGACAAAAAGGTTGAGTTTGGGGTTTATGTATGTTTGATTGGGTTTGTGGTGATGGATCCTGTTATTGGTGGAAAATTTAAGCTTGGGAGGAAGATTGGTAGTGGATCATTTGGCGAGCTTTTTTTGGGTATGCTCTATATCCAAATTCTTAGTAGCATCGTTTGTTTGCTTTGAATAATTTGAACTTCACGTTTTGTGACCTTTTCTGTTGCTTTTGTTTGTTTCAGGGGTTAATGTGCAGAGTGGAGAGGAAGTGGCTGTCAAGCTGGTTAGTGCAGTTATGGACTCTTATGCTGCATGCTTTGGAATTTCTATTATTCTTATTGTTTTGTTTTGTTTTGTTTTTCCATGGTGAATAGATGCATTGTGTTGCTGTGGAAGTGAGTTAATTGGTATCTTTTTGTTTTATGTTTCTGAAATGTAACGCTTGTCACTTAGGCTATGTTAGCGGTTATGCTTTTGCATACTGGTTGCTTGACCTTCAATGAATATTTGCAGATCTTAATCATGTTTCTTGCACTATTTTTTTTTTTCTTAGCATTTATTTGGTTTGCATGTTATTATTTGACATGATTTTTCTTGCTTCAAGATACATACACTTTTATTGGGCATGCTATTAGCCTATGACAATGTCTCAAAGTTGGGTTGATTTAAAATCCTTAATGCAAGTTTTGGCTTCGTGCTTTATGATTGTTATTGTTAGTGTCCATAGACTTTTGTTTTGGAGATCATAACTTAATGCATTGGGTTAGTTGTGTACTCGATCACCTGAGTTTTGTGATAATTTGTTACCTAACCATTTCATTGCACTATCATCTTTCCATTGGCTTGTCAGGAATCTGTGAAGACCAAGCATCCTCAACTTCTATATGAGTCAAAATTGTATATGCTTCTTCAAGGAGGAAGTTAGTAATTTTTTTTCTTCCTAATTTATACTTGTTCAATTTCCTTTTATGCAGCCAAAACATGCATTTGTATTCTTTCATGAAGCAAACTTAATAGTTCATGAGCTCATCTGATTAATGCGTTCATTTTTATTTGAAGCCGGCATACCTAATTTAAAATGGTCCGGAGTTGAGGGCGACTACAATGTCATGGTTATTGACCTTCTTGGACCAAGTCTTGAGGACTTGTTTAACTATTGCAATAGAAAATTCTCTTTGAAAACAGTTTTGATGCTTGCAGATCAGCTAGTAAGTATAGATTTAATGTCCAGAAAACCATACTTTTAACATACAGCTGAAGTAGTTTTTCTGTTTTACCTCAATCTGGTTTACCTAGATTAACAGAGTTGATTACATGCATTCCCGGGGCTTTCTGCATCGTGATATAAAGCCTGACAATTTTTTAATGGGTTTAGGCCGCAAGGCAAATCAGGTATCTTTTGCTTTCCAGCATTTATTGAAATTAAGTCTTATATGCTTGGGAGTTTATGTTTTAAGAATCTTATCAAATTGGGAAAATGGATATATGGAGACCTGAATGTTGTAAACACCAAATGAACTGTAATGTATAGTAACCATCAGGTTGGTGATTTTTACTAGAGGGATAGTTTGTGGTATTCTTGGGAGGAATGTATTCTCTCTTGCTGTCTATTCTATTGGTTTTGTAAATTCCTATGAGATGTAGTGTTTTGTAGACATAGGTAGGTGATTTTTACTATACTTGGCCAACTTCCTCCAGTTCTGACTTCAGAATCCATAACAGAAATTTGTTAGTACATTCTCTTTCCCATAAACCTGTAGGACATGTCCTTTATAATAAGATTATTTATTTTAATCAAATTTGCATTATTGTCATGTATTTCTAATTTTCTATTTTTCTAGAGACCATTGAGGATAAGTACTCTGAATGCGTTAATAGTGTTGGTTAGATGGTTTAAGCTTGGGAGTTGAGCTGCAGTGTTCATCAGTATAAAACGGGATTTAGAAGAGAAAAGGGAGGAGGGAAAGATATTGAAACTATTGATCTGCAATATCATTTTCTAAATGGACAGTATTTCGCTGCTGCCTAGGAACAGTCAAAGCCTACGAGTACTAGCATTATTATGTACTTACTATTTGTCTGAAAACATGATGTTTAATGAGATGAAATATTGTTTACCAACATTCACCATTTCTGTTATAACTTCCACGAGTATTAGGCCAAAATAATGTTGTTCAGACTTTAGAGTTATTAGATTTCCACCATTGAAGAGGAAAGCTAGAAGGTAGAGGAAATTGTAAGAGAGAGACGAGAGAGAAAGATCTGAAGAAGAGTCATCTTTGTATTGAGTTTTCGGTAAAATGAATTAATACAGAGGGAAGAGTTACCAGCTCTATATATAGAGCTGATGCCAACTCAGTGATGAGTTGGCAGCTAAACAACCATACAACAGAAAGCTCAACAGAAAGGAAAACTACCTAACAGAATACAAAAGAGAAATAATCACCTATGGTTGATACTTGATACAAACTAAAGTATTCTACTACCAGACTAATACACTAATACTCCCCCGCAAGCTCAGCAGGGTTGGAGAGGTAGAGCAGTGTTCAACACTCTGACCTTGGCTCTGAATTCAGTGAAGGAAGCAAGAGGCAATGTTTTGGTATAGGTATCAGCCAGCTGAGAAGTAGCAGGGATATGGAACACCTGAATATCTTTTGCTACAACCTCTTCACGAAGGAAATGCCAATCCAACTCAAGATGCTTGGTTCAAGCATGTAAGATTGGATTATGTGCTATAGCAATTGCACTAAGATTATCACACAGAATTTGAGGAATTGAGAGGGACATCTGCAGCTCTTGAAAGAGACATAATCCACAATATTTCTGCACAAATTAAAGCCATGCTTCTGTATTCTGCTTCCGCAGTAGACTGGGCCACAAGAGTCTGCTTTCTGGACCACCAAAATATCAGATTGGGGCCAAGAAGATGCAAGCTCCTGAGGTTGATCTGTGGTCATCAAGGTTACTGCCCCAGTCAGCATCACAAATGGCAGTAAGAGGAAATGAACCAGTGGCAGATTTGACTGATTGGAAGTGAAGACCAAAGTGGATGGTGTCTTGAAGATATCTCAAGATGCGTTTGACAGCTTTCCAATGCTGCACTAGTGGCTGACTCGTGAATTGACACACTTTATTCATAGAGAAAGAGATTTCTGGCTTGGTTATTGTCACATACTGTAGTGCTCCCACCACTGATCGATATAACTGAGAATCTTCAACAGTATTGGAGCCAAATCTTGACAGTTTACAGCTGGAGGCCATAGGAGTAGAAATTGACTTCAACAGTACTGGAGTTTGTAACAGCCCTTTACGTACCGGTAATGTTATCATTGCATATGGTATTAAGCGCAGTTACAATCACCGTAATTGAGTTAATTAAATTACGGGTAAACTTTTTCTTTTATTACATCCTTATCTTTAAACATTAACCATTTCCATAATCAATTAAAAACAACACCGTAATTGTAAATGCAAAACTCGCAGAAGCATAAAACTTATTTATTATAACCCCTCCAAGCAATACCATTAACTCTAGGTTATAAAATGACTCATTTTCAAAATTTGCAGTGGGAATCCAACTGTAGGGAATCAATTCCCAGCAGCTACAGTAACAGACAATAGCTTCATTTTGGCTCCCCTGTTTTTAGGAATCGATTCCCATCATAAGGAATCGATTCCCAGCCTTCACAGTGGCTGAATTCTACGTCCCCTATTTCAGGGAATTGATTCCCACACTGAAGGGAATCGATTCCCTTATTGTGAAATCACATTTTGACAGCTTTTTGACTTCAAAGGGAATCAAGTAACTTACTCCTAACACTTTAATAATTAATATAATACATGTACAAGTACTAATGTAGGCTCTAGGCCCTTCCATCATTATGCCATGTCTCAATTACAATAGTTCCCAATTCCAAAGCCATTTAAACATCAAATGGTCACTTTACCTCACAAGTCTCCAAATGCCTCTAAACTCAAAATATGTGGCCATGGACAAGTCTCATGCTCACCAAATACCAATATAAGCAAAAGGCATAGAATATACATCAATTACAAAAGACTTAGAATATAGTCATGAACACCCAAAAGCATGGAAATCTCAACATGCAATATGTTCATGATCTAAGTCCAAAATACTAAATGTAATGCTATGTGCATCAATTATAATCCTCCAAAATGCTATGCTCTCCATAAGCAAATCATGCTCAACTCCTCCACTAAGCGGGCCTCTTACCCGAAGATCCTCCATGCTCGACATAATCTGAAATAATGTCCCCAAACACGGGGTGAGATATACAAATATATCTCAGTAAACCAAGGGTACTAGAGGATCACTCCACCCCATGGCTCACTCAATGTGCATACAATGATCATCATATAAAATGCATAACATACAAAATCACATCACACTGGGCTCACATCCAAGAACCTTCATATAAAGATTCCGTTCAAGGACCCCATCATATAACTCCCGGGAAGCTTCCTAGTGCCTCTCCCATGGATGAGACGACCCCATGGCAAAACCCATCTGGAACTCCTTAAGAGACCTATCCAGTGGAAGTCCCACGTTTGGATCATCCTGGTGCTGCTCCCAGAGACGGCCCCACGGCAAAACCCGACCGGAGTCCCCCAAAGGGATATCTCTAGCGGAAGTCCAAACCACACATCTACTGGCCAGAGATCACAGATATGTCACACAATCAAAGCAACAATGCATGAACATACAATTTCACACAATGTCATAGAGCACAAAATCCAACCACGACCTTCCACTAGGTGTGGCGGAACACACAAGGGATAAAACCCAAGTACCAAGAGTTTACCTCAACTCCGCAAATATTGCTCTTCCACGTAAGCTCCAAGCTTAATCCGTTTCTATTGCGTCCGTGAGAGGCAACCTATATGATCAAACAACAATGACCATCAACCAATTGCAAACAATCAATCAACTTCACAATAATTATAACTAAACATAACCACTTAGGCCTAATGGCCATCTTACATTTAATTCAACTACCTCAACCATTTTAATCATCAACTAATTCACCAATCCACTATTCTATGCATCAAATCATCAACCATTAATTGTACAACATTTTTCACATCATTTTTCCTTATCTTTTCCTCTAGGTCGAATTCCACATGGAATCATGCTCCAAGGTTTTCAATCCAATTCAACACTTACACATATCATACAATCCTATTATTAACTCATACCAATGCTTCACAACTCAATTATTCAATCCTACCATCATACCAATTCACAAAGTATTGAAATCTCATCACAAAATTTCCTAAGTTACAATTTCCAAATCACCACAATTTTTATTGCATCAATCATCATCATTTATCATTTTAAGCATTTAATTCCAAAGGAGCAACATCATTAAAAGCCCATAACTACCATAACTCATCATCACATAATAAAAACCCTCACCCAATTTGTGATCTCAATGAAAACTCAATGAGAGTGTGAAAACTTACCACCAATAGCTTCCTAGGGTCCAAAGGAATGATCTTCAACCAATGAATCAACCCAAAAGGTACCAAAAATTTCCCAAAATACACCAAATTTCGTGGCTGATTTATGGGATTTTCTCCTCACACAATGATCCCCACAAGGTGCACTCTACATGAAAGTCATTCCCAAGATGATGGAGAACAACTTTGTAGTTGGGAGTTTCTCCTAAAAATGGCTAGAAATCAAGGTTGCAATTCAAAAAGCTCTCTACCCTAACAATGGTGAAGGAGCTCCACGGTGGAGAGGAAATTAGGAGAGAGAGTATTCAGATTTTTGAGTTTAAAAGGTCACTTACTCACTTAAAACACTTATGTGGGTCCTACATGCGAATTAACTATATTAAATCACCTAATTTAACCCATAAATTCATAACCTACGTATTTTTCTTGTTCACGTCATATTTTTACTTCCTAAAAATACTGATAATATTTTCGCGCTTATCGGTACAATTATACCGCAGTATTTTACACCGGAAAAGTCACTATTCATCAAATTTTCCGAAACTTGCCTATCCACTTGATTTTTCGTTCTGAATCCATTTCCGGCATTATTTTTACCATTTGAGACCTTCTACTCGATTTTTCTTGCCTAGGATTACGTGTTTGGTAAATTACCATTTTGCTCTTCTTATGTATCTTGGCCCTAATTTTAGGATTTTCATTAATCCTACCCTTTAATCATCATTATCTCATATAATTATACATTTAAAAATATGAGATGTTACAGAGTTCACTTAGCCAAAAAAATAAAAATTCTTCCATCTAAATCTAATACCGGATGTATATCTGAGTGTTTGATATTCATGTCTTGGCGAATAATGAATGACCTAGTAATTGGAATCCTTTAATAGCTTTATATATTTTTTTACTTAAGTATTTTCATTTGCTATGCCTACAAATTTTGAAATATCATTATGTAGTTTGAAAGTTGGAGCCAAAAAAGTACAAAACTGATTCAAGTATTCAGTATTATAACTAGCTTCTTAGAAAGCTCTTTCTGCAAAGACATTCACCTAGACAGTGTATGTATACAAAAAAGCATCTCAAGTGGTTTTTGCACTGAAGCCCTTATCCTTTGGTTGTTAGGGTCTAAATTTTAAAGATATGCATGCTAAGTTGATTTTGATTTATTTTGTAGGCAGCACTATTGAATATCAAGAGCTAAAATATTTTATGGGTTACTATATATCCTTTGTCAACTCTCCTGATTTTTTTTATATGCATTACAGGTATACATAATTGATTATGGCCTTGCAAAAAAGTATCGCGATCTTCAAACACATAAGCATATACCATACAGGTATTAAATTTAAGATTTTGTTTCAGAAGTCTGTAACTTGTTTTCTTTATGTTCCTTGAGACTTGAGTATATTGTCTCTGTCGTGTCTTTCCATTGTTTTCTTTGGAATTTTTTTTTCTTCCTATGTGGTTCCCTTCTTATAGCATTCCCGTTAGTATTTGCTACTGCTTGGAAGTTTACAGGTTTAAACTGTCTCCCCACTATGGTACTTGATATCCTTTTTTTCCCAGCTTCCTCAGGTTGTTTTTTACCGTGTCCTCAATGAACAATGTTAGTTGTGTTGCTGGGATAGATAATAGGTTTGATTTTATTAAGGGTATAATCTGGGTTGGTGCAACTTGAGTTTAACTAGTTTCTAGACTACACTTGAGTCTGCATCTGCTACCTGAATATGCATGAAAATACTTCCATCTTTTTATTGCTAACCTGAACCCATCACTTGTTTACATATCTTGAATCTTCCCAGCCAGAGGCAAAAGTAATTTGATCCTTTCGTCATCTCCAGTTCTTGTTAATCAACAAGCGTAGGGGTGCACAATAGCAGGGGCACAAGAAGGGTTTCCCAATTGTTTATCTATAATGAAATCATTATTAAATTGTTGACCATGTTTTCTTGCAAATTATCTACATTGGGGAATTTGGGGGAGTTGGCATCAAACATGTTAATTTTTCATTTCTTTATATTTTGTTTCAACATTCAAGTCAGTTCTTTGTTGACTTATATGCCAATGAATGTGCAATAATGGATAGAATGAATTTTTCTAACTGGTGGCAGTTACATGTGGAATTGCATTTCTTCATTTCTTTAAATTAAAAAACTAATTATTGTCCTACACCTCTCTTGTTTCACGAATGGTCATGGTCACACTACTTTTCTTACAACAGGGAAAACAAGAATCTCACTGGAACTGCTCGGTATGCAAGTGTTAACACTCACCTTGGAGTTGGTGAGTGAGGCAATTTATTACAGATACTAATCAATAAGCTTATTTATTAAAATTCTTAAAATCCAAATGGTTGTACATTTACAACTCTTATCCTGATTATTCTTGCAGAACAAAGCAGAAGAGATGATCTTGAATCACTTGGTTATGTGCTAATGTACTTTTTGAGAGGAAGGTTGGTTTCGATGCTGAGATTCTTAGTTCTGTAATTGTCTTTGTTGTTGTATTTTCTAACATGGTATAGCAATTCTTTTTCAGTCTTCCTTGGCAGGGCTTGAAAGCTGGAACTAAAAAGCAGAAGTATGACAAGATAAGTGAGAAGAAGATGCTTACTTCAATAGAGGTACTGGTATTTGCTTGCAAGAAGCTTTTATGCAAATACTTTACTTTGATGATTTGAATCATTGGATATGTTAGGATGACGTCTAGTTTTCTACTGATTTCGGTTTCATCTGTACAATTTGTTTACTCCAAGTATTTTTCTCCATCATATATAAATATTTCTTTTCTTTTTCAGCATCATACATTTTACTTAAATTGAATTGATTGGAAAAATAACTAATCAATTTAATTCTTTTTTCTATATTTTTTTTGTTGCCAAGAATTTATCATATGGATTTCTGAAACAGGTCTTATGCAAGTCACATCCATCAGAATTCGCATCTTACTTCCAATATTGCCGATCATTACAGTTTGAAGATAAACCTAATTATTCATATCTTAAGAAACTCTTTCGAGACCTATTCATTAGAGAAGGTACCTTGCAGATGCATAAGCTTTATCGTTCCTCTGTTGAAAATTCTTCCAACCTTAGAAATGTTGCTTTCACAGGTTGTCAGTTTGACTATGTATTTGATTGGACTATATTGAAGTATCCACAAATTGGATCCAGTTCTAGAGCTCGAGTGAGTTCTTCTAATGGTGTTAATCTTCATCTGTGAAGAGGCAATAAATGTGGTTCCGTTGCATCTTCAGTAAAGTAATGGTTCTAGTTATATAATTTTTTTTTGTTGCATTTTCGACAGCCAAGTGGGAAACCAGTCTTAAACCCAGGACAATCTGGAGAGAGATTAGAACGGCCGTCAGGTTTGCTCCTGAAGCAAGATCTGGATTCTTTTTTATTCTGAAGCAATTTCACTGCTATGCTGATAAATGGTTTCTATTTCTTATAGATTCACGAGCCTTTAAATTCTATTATTCTGTATGTCTCTTCTTTATTCTTATAGCTGTAAATAAAAAGACTTTCAACGGCTAACTCCTTATATTTTGGTCGGACAAGACATTCGCGATAGATTATCAGGTGCAGTGGAGGCATTTTCAAGAAGGAATAGCTCTGGGCATGGTCTGCATACTGATCATTCCAAGCATAGGTCTTTAAATGATGTGCCATCTTCAAAAGTTGTGGTTAGTGTCTTCATCTTCATATTATTTTCTTTTTTGTATAGCTTGTCTTTTTGTTTTGTTTTTTGGTTCAATTTTTATGAATAGTAAATTGACTGCCTAAACTTTTCTTGTTATCTGACACTCGTCTTTGCAGCAACCTGATTCTAATAGGGCTCGTAGTTCTTCTCGCAATGGCAGTGCCTCCAAAAGGCCTGTCATATCAAGCAGCAGACCAAGCACTTCTGCTGAACCTAGTGAAAGCCGTTCCAGTCGATTGGTCTCAAGCAATGGTCGTCTATCTACTACTCAGAGGATTCAATCTGGTTTTGAGTCCAAATCATCATTTACCCGTGGTGCAGGGACAAGAGGTGGTCGTGATGATGCACTCAGGAGCTTTGAGCTCTTGTCAATTGGTACAGGGAAAAGGAAATGAAGATCCATGTGGTCAGAAAATTTCACGGGTTGCATACCCTTCTACCTTCTTGAGACAGCCACACTTGATTACACCGTATATTTCCACCGTGTTGGGTCCATTCAAGGCTAAAAGCTTTGGCAGACTCTTTTTATACCTCTTCAGATGTTCTTCCATGATTATTTTAGCATGGACCCATTCATGAAGAGTCTCAATCTTGTAATAAATATATTTTCCATATTTTTCTGTTGAAGAAAAGGAAAGAGAAACTGCAGAGTCTAATATGCTTTGCAAGTTTTCTACCTTTTCTGTGCATAATTGGGACCTGTCTTTTTTGTCACTATGTAGTACACAGAGGAAATGAAATTGCTCTGAGCTAATAGTAGGTGGCTCCTAATATGAATTAGAGAAAAACAGGAGACTGCTGTGCAACAGTGCAAGTGGAAATTATGAAACTTTGGTGTAATTTCAAAACTGTTTGGCGCATGTCAGGGTTAAGGCTTTGGCAGGTAGCTATGAAGTGTGTTCTATTCTTTTATCTTTTCATGGTGTTTAGCAATTTGCATTTTGTTATATACTTTTGAACTTTGTTTTATTTTATTCCACTCTGAAACGTTGCCATTTTTGTGGTGAATAGGATGTGTTTTTTGCTGACCATTTAGAACTCCAAAATTGTACACTGCTTGTAGTTTAATCTGGTGGGAAGCCTTTAACTGCTCATGAGTCATTTTTTTTTTTGAAAGATAATGGAAATGAAAAACACAGCAAAAAGGCCTAAGTACAGAACCTAGCCCAGCGAACACCTACAGTGTCGCTGTATAAACTTTGAAGACAACCAGGAGGAGGGTCATCAAAGACTTGCGCATCCCATGGAAAGCTATACGCATGTGAAGCTAAGAAATCAACTACTTTGTTTCCTTCACGACGGACATGAGAAATCTGCACCTGCCAGCATCTTTGCAACATTCCTCTAATGCGTTGCACCAAGCTCGACGAAGGGTGATCTTGATAGAGGGAATCTCCTTTCAGCCACACATTTCTAAATCCTTTTTCCCAAGCTAAATGCAAACCTTCCAAACAAGCCCATAATTCTGCATGCAAAACAGTACCTGGCCCCAAATTCTTGCAGAAATCGATAACCCAAGCTCCGGACGGGTCACGAATAACACCACCACATCCTGATCTGTTCCCATTACCAACTCTAGCCCCATCAACATTAAGTTTAACCCATCCTAACGGAGGACAAGACCAAGCTATCATCTTCTCTACACTGTTTCTCGGTTGAAGACCTGTTGCATGGAGAGTGGTAGCTGTATGCTTGACACAATTGCTATACCCCAAGGCTGAGTGGGCAATTGTGTAAGCATTATTGATTTTTCCTTCAAAAACTCAAGTGTTTCTACTCCAAATGCTCCACGCTAATATCCCAAAAGTCAAAGGCCAATCATTGTCCATTGCCAAGCTTCTACAATTTTTTATGTTAGAGAAGATCCAGTCATGCAGATTAAGCTAGAAGAATACCTGCCAACTGGTTTGATGAACCACCAACCTCCAAACCTCTTTTGACTGAGGGCAATCCCGGATAGCGTGGAGATTAGTTTCACAAGAGATATTACATCTAGGGCAAACACCCGAAGAGGTCATGTGACGTTGAAGCCTCCGACTAATAGTCAACAACTTTTCTCCAACCAACAACCAAAGGAACATACGTATTCGTTCCGGTCCCATCCACCTCCAGATATTGTCCCATTGATAAGCTAGAGCTGTAGCTGTGTTGTTATTTAGCAAATCATAAGCTGACTTTAGAGTGAAAATCCCATCTGATGTCTCGCTCCAAATAATGTGGTCCTTACCATCTTGATAAGAGGGGGGGGGGGGGGCAGAAAATTCATGAGCCGCTGGATGATGCAAGCAGGAAACAGATGATGCAAAGAATCCCATTTCTAATAACCCGACACATCCACATAGTCTGTCACATATTGCAATCGGTCAGCATCAGAAAGATGAGACTGAGCATAGGTAATCAGAGGGCCACATTTAGGAAGCTAGTTATCAAACCAGAACATAGTGGATCTACCATCACCAATTAAGACTCGACTGTGGTCTAAGATAATGTCCCAATGACGCTTGATTCCCTTCCACAACTGAGAGCTGTTGTTTGGCGCATTAATATGGGGCATCATACCTTCCTCAACTTTATACTTTGCACGAAGAACCCTGGACCATAAAGTATCAGGATAAGCGAGAAGATTAAATCCAACCTTAATGATAAAAGCCGAATTCATCTTTCTCATATTGCGCAATTCCATCCCACCATGACTTTTATCCAAGCAAACTTGATTCCAATCAACAAGATGGGGATGCTTGGTCGTGGAAGAAGCACCCCAAACAAAGCTTCGGATCTTCGCATCAATCTCATCACAAGTGGAATGAGGAAATATACTAACCTGCATCGGGTAGGATGGAATAACAGTCAACACTGCTTTGGATAATGTTACTCGACCAGCAAGGGACAAACTGGCATGACTCCAAGTACTCATTTTAGAATGAAGGCGATCCAACATATAGGAAAATGATGATCTTCCCACCTTCTTGTGATGTAGAGAGATACCCAAATATCGGCCAAGATCTGCAATAAGAGAGAATCCTTGATGATGACTAAGCTCTCTTGCTTTAGTATGCCCCACATTACGAGAAAAATAGACTCTAGTTTTTCCCTGGTTAACTTTCTGCCCTGAGGAACTGCAAAAAGTATGAAGAATATGTTGTATTACAGTGACTTGCTCCTGAGTAGCTTCTGCAAACAAAAGAAGATCATCAGCAAAAAATAAATGGGAGATTGGCGGGCCTCCCTTTCTGATCACCACCGGCTTCCAACTTTTTTGCTCCACAGCCTAGTTGATAAGATGAGCCAATCTTTATATACAGAGGACAAAGAGATAAGGAGATAATGGGTCTCCTTGCCTCAAACCTCTTTTGGGACGAAACTCTTGAGTGCAAGATCCATTCCAAAGAACGTTCATTGTGCACGAAGAAACACACCACATAATAAGACGTATCAAGCTAGCGGGGATCCCTATGTCATATAGGGTATCTTCAAGGAAATCCCAGTTGATTCTATCGTAGGCCTTCTCGAGATCTACCTTTATAGTCATCCACCCTTTAGATCCCCTTTTGGTCCGCATTGAGTGAATCAACTCCTGGGCAATTATGACATTATCAATGCCATGTCTTCCTTTGATAAAGCTGCATTGGTTAGGCATCACCAGACTGTTCATCTGCAATTTTAAACGGTTAGCAATAATTTTTGTTACCGTTTTATAAATAACATTACATAAACTAATCGGGCGAAATTCCTTAAATGTTTGAGGTATCCCTATTTTAGGGATCAAACAGAGAAGAGTCTGATTCACTACTTCAATTTGCTGGGGATTTTTGAAGACATCTTGGATAAAATTACACACAGAATTTCCCACTAAATCCCATTGACTTTGAAAGAAGATACTATGAAGGCCATCAACACCCAGCGCCTTATAAGGCCCCATAGAGAAAATGACACCTTTGATCTCCTCATTACCAGGATGCTTTTCTAACACTTGAAGAACCCTCCAGTCCAGCAAAGGAAATTTGTTCCTTATGGGAAATAAAGGACGAGAGTAGTTGTCATCTGTGAACAATTTATTGTAGTATTCCACTGCTCATGAGTCATTTTTAGGGTTGCACTAATTAACCAAAACAAATTAGTCAGGTTCTTGTTTGTGGTCAACATGAACCAAAACAAATTAACCCAAAGCACACACCAACACCAAAGGGGCTCCAAGCAGTGTTGTGGTATTGTGTTAAATGGTTGAAGTGAAGAGAGCTACTTTTTTTTAATAGTATTTCTATTAACCGGTTTATTTTTTAAGACTAATCCGGTCGGTAGTTGAGAGAAGTTAAGGACTTCTCCTCCCAATAGATGCACTTCCCAGGTCTTGAACTTGTGTACTCCACCTTATGTGGGCCTTGAGCTGCTATTGCTCGGCCAATACCGTGTTAGTTAGTGAAGTGAGCTTTTCGTCAAACACAAAATGCTTCTTTTGGCAGCTGTGTAATATTTTGAAGTAGTTGAGCCAACAAGTTGCAAAAATTCAACCCCTCTTTTTACTTAATGCAGTGATAATGCAAAATCTTGATCCATATCTAGTTGTACGTTTATAAATACTAGCAAACCTGTCAATCCACATATTTTAAGTTGCAAAGTTTTCTAGATAGTAAGAGATGACAAATCTTGATTTTTGCATATCCCACATTTTTTAATTCGTGTACTTTTATTTTAGTGACAAATGAAGAATCTTACTTTTAGCAGAATTTTCTAAACCAAAGGATTCGGTTTGAAAGATAACAGTTGAGTAGAATCTTCAAAAAAGTTTAATCCACTTAGGGAATGAATTGTTTCAAAAGCCAATGATAAAATAAGGTGAAATGTAACCAAATAAAGAAGAATCTTCTTTAATAGTAGTATATATGTTATAGCTGCCAATGTTGACACATAATTAGTTATATATGCTAGAATTGTATACAAAAGTATCTAGTATTGAAATTCATAAAAAAGAAGATATTTTGTCAAAATAAGAGGCTTAGAGGCCTTTGGAAGGCATTGCAGAGTTTTTTTTTTTTTAATGAATTAATGTCATTAAATACAAAAAAAAAAGTGAGACTAAAATTTAAAAGCAGGTTTGAGATTTAACTTTTCGACCTTGAAGTCAGATAGGAGAGAAAGTTAGCCAACAAACCAATAAATGTGTGCACATCCTTATAAGCAACTCGGCAGTAACTTAATTACAAAAATAACTGTAATATTTAAGAATGCAGCTTGATAAAAGGTGAATTGAAGAATATACACCTTAAATGATTTTTCTACACAGACAAATATCCCAGTCAGCCAAAAAACCAGAAATTTCAGGGCCCTGGCTTCCAAACTATCAATGCTAAACTAACAAAAGAATGTTTGAAAGAGTAAAACAATAAGTAGTCATCAACATTTGGTCATATATATATATATATATATATATATATATATATATATATAATATATATATATATCTCCATGGTCCTGTAAAATATTATTAAATTATATCATTGTGATCCACTTTTTTCAGGAACTTCCATTTGAGGAGGTAAGAGGTTTAAGAAGCTCCCTCTGACAGGTTGATTGGTAGTCATTGCAGATTCATCATCTGTATCATACAATAAAACCAATTCATTGAAGAATGGGACAACCTAAACCACAACATATATCAACCTAAGCCATATAAGCTCTTCTTGAGCTTGTTTGGTAGCCTCCGCTTCAATGTTATGTGCCAAAAAAGAATAATGACTTATAATAGGAGATTTTCATGAGTAATGAACGATATTGGGATATTGGGGATAGTGCATGATTAGAACTAAATTATTATTGGATTAGATTAGCATTTGTCTCTATAATCACGTTTCAAAAGGATGTTAGTGCTAAGTTCATAAGCCACATCATAATGTAAGT